TTGTAAACTATTAAACCATAATCACCCATCACCCTTTTTTTAACAATAACAATGATATATATATGATGTATATATTTTTAGATCGATAAATGAGAGCGTAAGGAATAAAATAAAAAAGGGTTATGAACAAGCCTAAAAAAAGCAAGATGAAAGAATAAAGTTATGAAAGAAAGATGTATACATCTAATTATAATTAAAATCCTATATATGATTATATAAAGCTATCAAAGTGGTAGTTTTATAGAATACATTTTAAATTTAAAATTATTTAAAAAAGTTGCTTACCTGTTCTATAGCACTGCAATTTTGGAACTAAAACACAATTTATTTGCGACTGATTATTAAAAATCTACGGACGGTCTTGATATTCTTTTGTCTAGGACCATACATGAAGGGTTACCTAGCGCGATATCGCGATATCGCGATATGCGGAAGAAGGGATAGATTTTTGCGTTTCAAACGTGAAAAAGTATAATGTCAAACAATAAAAATTATTGAGTTCAAATGATACTTTATACAAGTTGAAGAATATCCTAAGTATCAAGTAAATTTAGTATGGAATATAAAATTTACTATTTCACATAGTTCATTTTATGGACCTCACTGGTGAATTTTATATATTTTTTTAATATTAAGTATAATTAAGAATTTATTATTTCATATATGAAAAAGTACTATCGAATATTGTTTCTGTACAAAATATAACAACTGCATATGTCAATTCAGAGGCATTAAATTTTTTTATTTTGATTTATAAATTTTGTGTTTTGGTTTTATATTTTTTATCTTTTCGACTTCAAATTTTAATCTACAAAACTATAAACATTATAGCTTTACTTATAAATTATTACAATTCTTATTTTTAACGAGTAAATCGTAATTTTTAAAAAATGGAATACTTCTTTTTTACAAATAAACCATAAATTTGATCATTTAATTAATAATTATTATGAAGTAAATGTCAGAACAAACAGATTAATATTTGAAATAGTAATAATTAGTGATATTACTTATTAGCAGAGCTGTTCCGAGTACAATGAAAAAGTACTCGAGTACTGAATACAAGTACTCTTATATAAAAGTATACTCGAGTACCAAGTACAAGTACAGTACCGTTGTACTCGAGTACCCATACGAGTCAGAGCCGGCTTAAGGCAATTGAGCGCCTTAGGCACTTAAAAATTTGGCTCCTCTAACTAGATACTATACTTACGGGGCCCGGGGCAAATTTTAAAAAAGCTTATTAGAGCCACCCCAAACTGTTAGCTTAAGGGCGCCCGAGCATTATAACCTAATTATTCCCTATGAATTAGAATACTTTTTATCATTAAAAAAATACATAAAAAACATAAAAACATACAAACATAACAAATATTATGTAAATAAAAAGTGTGTTTTTCTGCAAGATGTCATTAGTAAGTATTTAAAAAAAATTAAATCAACTTTAATTTTCTGTATTTGTATGTTAGATGTACTGCTGGTTTATTGTAATTAGTTTAATATTAAAATTTCAGAAATACCTTAAAACAAACATAAAAATTAACACTATCTAAATGTGGGTTTAGCCAGCATTTTGTGTAACGTAATCTAACGTAACGTAATTTAATTTAAAAGCCAGGCAAAATCAACCTTAACTATCGAACACAGACTGCTATCACCAAACACACAACACTCTTGAATAAACGCGAAAACACCCAAGTCCTTCCGGCAGCAGTTTCCTCTAGTATCGCGTACCCGCTGGGGTGAGCAGCACATCACAGCGGGTACCCGATGCAAGAGAAATCCGTGTGCTTGGAGCATACGGGGGTTTTGAAATAGTTTAAAGAGTGCTAAAGATATGTTTATACAGGGTAAAGTTTACAAATTAAATTATCTTTTAAGTTTTTGTTTGCAGTTTAACGTTAAGATATATTATTATTTGTTAATTATACAGTTAATAATAAAATATCTTATTCTACTTCAACACGCAGTGCCCTCCAATCAAGCATGGTGATATAACACCTGATTAATTTTATCTGAAATACATTTATGTATTTGGCATAAAAACAGAAGTGAATTTGCGGCACGCTTTTTTGTCGGCTTTACACCTCGTTATTACAAAGGGAGCTAAATTTTTATAAATTAATAAAAACAGTAAATAATATTCTGTTATTACAATTGTATATTGTTTATTTGTTTTATTTTTGGAAAAAATAAACATATTGGTAACAATTTTTATTTTTTTTTAAGTTGCTTGGGGACAAGGCGCCTATTTCTACGTAGCGCCTAAGGCAATTGCCTTGCCTGCCTAATGGGTAAAATGGCCCTGATACGAGTACAAAGTACCGAGTACACTTTAGTTATGAAATGTTGGGAAAAATTCTAGAGAAATGGGGCGATTAAGAAATGAATTTAGAATCACTAGTGCAAAACTAAATACTAGCGGGCCTATTGCCTTCATCAAATATTGATGTTTCGCTTTATGTTAATTATCAAGGCCGGCGAGTATCTTGTTTTCCTTTGCCTTAGCTTTATTTTTTAATTATCTTTTTGAGGAATATTGTCACCTTATTTCTACCTATAAACAAAATTACATTTCATACATAAGTAAAAACTTTTTGTTCAATGCTCTTTCCTGTGTCTTTTTATTTATTGATTGAGGCTGTCTTAATGCTGTCGTGTGAGGCAGGCTGGCTGAGGCTGCCTCAGGTAGCATGTCCGTAATTTGACAAGTCTGAGCAGTGTTGCCAAATTTTCAACACCCACGCACATATTTGCACATATGTATCCACGCCAACCTCACCGCATAAAAATTTACTCATTGCATACTTTGGATGTACTCGAGTACACGTAAAAGTACTCGAGTACACGTAAAAGTACTCGAGTACATTTTTGCAATCTTAAATGTATCAAGTACAAGTATAAGTACATTCAAATTAAAGTACTCGGGACTGAGTAGGTACCGAGTACACTAAAAGTACTTGGAGTTCAGTGTTTGAGTTCTTGTACTCGAGTACCGCACAGCTCTGCTTATTAGGCATCAATATTTAATTAGTATAATTCACTTTTTTCCGTGTAGCATTTGTAAGCTAATTAAAATAATAATTATTAACCAGCTTGTTTTTATTATAAAATATTAAAGAAATAAATTGCAAATTTTAATTTAAAAAAATCAAATTATTAAAATGCACATTCACATTTTCGAGGTTAAAGTCTCGGAACAGATTTAAAAGGAAATGGTGGGATGACACCTTAACGTGGTATAAACCGAGAAGCCGGTTCAGGTTTTAACATAAAGTGTTTTGAAGATGATATTAAAAATAAGTTTTTAAACTAAGTTTTTTGCTATGGCATTTGTTAATGAATTGCTCGCAGCACTTTTTCTGGCTATAGTTGCTTTGTGGTGTTACATTTATAATCAAAAAGTGAAACACATCAGAATTTATCCTGGACCTACCCCAAATTTTTTGTTTGGAACAACACTGGATTTTTTAAACCCTTCAAGTATGTAAATCTAAATTAAGTAGGTAATTGCCTGATACAATTTAAATTTAAAATTTTGAATTTTTTAGCAAAAATTAATTTTATTATCCTTAACTATTTAATTTGTCGCTATTTTTGTTAAATAAAAATGTCATTAATCTAATAATTAAATTTCAAATTGCTTTTAAATAAAAACTCTAGATCCACATTTAAAGTTTGTTTGAATTTGAACCATATAATATATATATATATATATATATATATATATATATGATATATCTAAAAATTCAATTAGATGCCTATATATTAATATAATAACTATTTATGAACAGTGTTTTTACAAAAAAAATAGATCTTATTATTAGTTTCAAAAGGTTTTTCATTAAAAAAAAAGGAAAACAGCAAAAATAATGCAAATACATTTTTTAATTTATTTAGATGGAACCGCGTGCTCGAATTGGTCTAAAACTTATTTATATCGAATCAGAATCTTGTTTTTTTTATAGAATACATGTAGCAAAACCTTTAATAGAAGAAAATTATTAACCCACAAAGTTGTAAAAAGTCCCTAAGGACCTTATCACCGATCGGTGATATATGCTCACTTTAAACATTTAAATACTTTTTTAGGGCATTGCTATATAACTTAAAAGTCAGTTTTAAAAAAATTATTTTATTTTATATGGACAAAAACAAAATTTGATTTGAATAAAAAAAATCAAAATAATTGCCCCCTTTGACCTTTTAAACTTTTTTTTAATAAAATTTTACTCCTATTCGAAATACTATAATAATGTGTGTACAGAATGTGTCATATTTGTTATATATAATAATATAATTTTTAAATATAAATTGTTAAATTATTCTTATAAACATTATTCTACTATTCTCTTGCCATGCTATGTACAATTTTTGCTACATCATTTATTTTTTGCATTCTCCCTTTTGTGTAATTTTTTCCTTAATTTAAAAAAATGCACCAAAATAGGATTTAAACATTATTTTTTAACGGACCGCAGTACATTTTATACAGGGTGTCCCATAATCATAGTGTATATTCTCTGAAAACCTTCTCTAATACTAAAAATATTTGAAATATCATTTTTAACAAAAATATTCAGGAAGTAGATTCTATTAATATCTTCGTAGGTGTTGAAAATGTTTTATGATAAAAAGTTATTTCATATTTCAAAGGCCAATTGTTTGTACCAAGTATGTTAAAATTGCATAGAAGTGATGTAAATATTAAAAATAAATAAAACTTAGGCCTTGATGCGTTTAACACTTAATTCATAAGGTATTTTTTACAGGTACATTAAATTGTTAAATGTCAGATACAAAAATGCGTGGTGGTTTAATTTATTTCCTCCATCTATTTGAAATATTAAAACAATAATTTAAAGATTACTATGGGTAGCAACCAAATTTGGAAATTAAAAGTTAAATTCTAATATGTAATAACTAAAACCAATATTGCTAAATCGATAAAAAATATATAATTATTGGATTCTAATTTAAGTATTTAATTGTTTTTTTAGAATATTTGGATATACTTTTTAATTACCACGAAAAATACGGTAAAGTTGTAAAATTTCAAATCGGCCCATTTAAACAAGGATTAATTGTAAGTGATTACAAGTTTTTGGAATTCATATTAAGTTCAAGAAAAACCATCGAGAAATCATCGCAATATACTTTTCTTCATAACTGGTTAGGCCAAGGATTACTTACTGCAGGAGGTACAAAAATAATATTATTTATAAAAAGTATAAACAATATATTTTCAGGGGATAAATGGTACAAAAGACGAAAGGTTATAACGCCAGCTTTTCATTTTTCAATACTAGAGGAGTTTATAGAGGTTTTTGAATCTGTTGGGAATGTTTTTGTGGAGAAAATTGGCCAGGAAAAAGAAAAATTTAATATATACCCATATGTTACCTTGTGTACCCTTGACGTAATTTGTGGTAAGTACGACCATGGAAAAATTACAAAAGTTAATTAGTTTTATAATTTGTTATAAAGCTTTATAAATTGCATTTATTGTTAACAAATATTTGTACAAAAAATAAATTATCATTACTGTGTCAAAAGTAGTAACCTTCACCCACAAAACTTAATAGTTTAATTACTCTCACAATGAAAATTAAAAGATTACAATCAACAAAGAGATTTCAAACTTTGCTAATTACGTAACCAAATTAAATTTGCAGAGGCTGCTATGGGAGTTTCGGTGAATGCCCAGCAGTACAACGAAAGCGAATACGTAACAAGTGTTAAAAGACAATGCAGAATTATGGTTAAAAGATTATTTTCTGCGGTAAAATCAAACAATTATTTATATCTTCTAACAAAAGATTGTAAATATGAAAAAAACGCCTTAAAGGTTTTACATTCGTTTACAAATTCCATAATAGATCAAAAATTGGATGAAATCAAAGCAAATCCAGACCTTAATAAAAATAATCAAGATGATGGATTGGGAAGGAAGAAGAAATTGGCGTTTTTGGATTTGTTATTGCAATGTAAAATTGATGGAAATCCACTGACAAGAAGTGACTTAAGGGAGGAAGTGGACACCTTTATGTTTGAGGTAAAAATAAAATAAGAACACCAATAATCTTTTATATTTAAAAAAATTATAATTATTAATATTTATAGGGTCATGATACCACGGGTTCCGCTATAACATTCTTAATTTATTCTTTGGCAACAAATCCCGAAGTGCAAGTAAGTAAAATATGAAATTATTCTTTTCCTAAGTTGTTTTTACATAAAACTATTAATTTAGGATAACGTGAGATGATAACAATTTTATTTTTATCACTTAAGGGTTTTTTTAATACAATAATTACTAATAATACTAATTACACTGTAGGGAGGTGAAAATATCACATAGTACCTATACTTAATTTTTGGTCGTAGATCAGGTCAAAATTCAAAGATATTGGAAACACCCTGTATAAATTTAAACACCCTGTATGAAATTTAAAAAAATTTGGCTGGACCCACACATCAGTTCCAAATTAAAAAAACTAATTCTTGCAAAATTTTAAGTTATTTGATTAAAAGGAACACGTGTCCCTGAGGGTTTTTTTTTAGAAAATTTAGTAAATTCAAAATGTTTTTTTGCTGATTTTTTTTTATTGAGCATAATAAAGGATATTATATTAAACAAAATAAAAAGGGTAGGAATGTTAGCACAAGAGTTGAAATGTATTATTTTAAAAATTACTAAAAATAAAAATTACTAAATATACCTACCAGTATACAGTGTGTCCCCGGATCGGATTGCCAATAGAAAAAACTTTTTTAGACCTGATACAGCTAAACCGAGCACGGATTTGAAATCTACCACCAAAAATTAAGTTTACGTGTCCGAGCGTTTAGCTGTGATATTTCAAAAGTTGAAAAAATACCTACTGTGTTATTATTATTATTATTATATTTAATTACTGTAAGGTTAAAAATATAAATATTAAGAAAAATACAAGAAAATACATTTTTTTAAGAAACTATTGGACACAAAATGTGTAGTAGGAATAAAGTTGAAAAAAATACTAAAAAAACAGAACAAACTAAAAATGAAATAGGCTTTGCTTGCCTCATTTACATCATTGGCATTAATAATAATAATAATAATAATAATAATAATAATAATAAATAATTGCAGCTTGTAGGGGATCCCACTTTCAGAGTGGCACTCTGACAAAGAAGTACAGATAAATGTTCCTAAAATATTCATTTTTAGAATCTACCGACAAGCCATTCCAAGACACAATTTTAATAGTATTGCTGGTACTTACCACATTTCCCGAAATTTTAGTTGCAATAAGGTATTCTGAAGTAATTCTTATCTTAAGAACTTAAGTAATTCGGGAAACATCAGTTTTCACAAAGATCTTTTCCTAAAATACGATGAACCGCTTCAATATCTATTGCGGTTGATAATTTTAAATATCTTATAACCCCAGTAGCACAAAATATTGGTCCTATATGGAGCGCGTCTATGCCCAATATTTTATCTAGGGCCAATATTGGTTTTATTTAGCCTTATATTGGCATAAAATGATAATTTAATATACCATTGCCAATCCAAGGTTGATTGCCATATTATTTTATGCCAATTTATCATTAACTATAGTCAACGATGCTTTCGGATTTCTAAAAGATATGTCTATACTAGTGGCGCAGGAACGGTTGTAAGTTGTATGCACCAAATGGGAGAAAATAATAAAGGCCATTCTTGCATATTACCGTAAGAATAACAAGGGTAATATGCGATTTCTTGTCTTATTAGCAATAAAATTCGTTATTACGTTAATAAAGCTTAAGCTGATCATTTTAGCACACGATTTTAACATTTTATCGTAATTAAGAATAACATAGACGGTACACGACCTGTCTTATTGGTAGATTTTTTCAAAGTATTTGGAGGGTACATTTTATATCAAGTAACCCCCTCTCCCCATTATCATTTGGGTGGGCATTGTCACCTCCCCCCCGCTTCTACGCCCCAAAGTATCATAAATATTTCCTAAAAACAAACGTTTGTCGGCACGATCGTGACATATAACTCCTAGAAATCCTACTACGTAGTAAGTAATAGGTGGCTATCTTTTTTTCTTTTAATTTCTCCCTCAACTTTTCTAGAATATAATGTAAAACAACTTCGGGCCAATGCGGATTTCCAATATCGGTTATATAATGTAAAACAACTTCGGGCCAATGTTGGGTTTCAATATAGACCTATCCCATAAAACGGACTTTTGGATAGCGCGTGCGTGAAAAGGCACGTCGTCTTTTTTTAATTATATAAAAGAGAAAGAGATACCACTCTTCTTCAGGCACGCGCTATCCAAAAGTCTGTTTTATGGGATAGGTCTATTGGACCATGCTAGAAAAAATCAGACGAAAGATATATTCGCCCAACATTATCACGAATATTGGGCCAATATACGAGGGTGGTTCAAATATAAACCGGAATTTCGCTATAAAATTTTTTATTATTAAGTTACAGAGCTGAATTTTTTTACAATTTATCTAGATTGTCTCCGTCACACTCTACACACTTTTGCCACCTCTCCGGAAGCTTTCGGATGCCTTGTTCGTAAAAATCTCTCGGCTTGTCACGTAACCATTCGCGCACGAAGTATTCTACCTCCGCATTGCTTTCGAATCGCAGTCCGCCAAGTGCCTCTTTCAATGGACCGAACAAATACTAGTCGCATGGCGACAAATTGGGACTATAAGAAGGGTGTTCCAGTGTTTCCCAACCCAATTCGTTCAATGTTTTTATCAAACTTCCCAGCGTGTGAATTTCTGATCAAAATTCAGAAGTCTTGGCACCCATCTGGCTAAAATTTTGCGGTAACCGAGCCGTTTATGAATTATTTGCTCAATACTACCTACGCTGATGCCCAATTCCTTAGCCATATCGCGTACAGTACTGCGTCGGTCTTCCAAAATGAGTTTTTCTACAGCGCTGACGTTCTCATCTGTAACACTTGTTTTGGGGCGCCGCGCATATGGCAAGTTTGCCACCACTTTCTTGGCCTTTTCGCAAAGCGGAACACCATTCATACACTTGAGTCTTGGAGAGGCACTCATCCCTGAACTGCTCGAGTAATTTTTGATAAATTTCCGCGGATTTTACATTATCTTTGACCAAAATACGAATAATGATGCGTTGCGCAACAGACACTGGTACATCCTTCTCGCTCATGGTTATAACTACACTGAAAAGCGAGGTTACGCAGTCCCGGCTGTTCTCTAGGCTTCGTAACAGACCAGTCTAACATCTAGTGCAGCCACTTTTACAATACTAAATTTTTAGCGCGTTTATTAAAAAATTCCGGTTTATATTTGAACCACCCTCGTATTTGTGCTACTGGAGAAGCTTTATATAGGCAGATATATTAACAGATATATCAGAACCTATTTTAAACCCTTGAACAAGAAACCCTACCATGATCTAGTACTTTCACACTGCAGTCATGACTCTTTTGTCCTGAAGCCTGAAGCTTTTAATTTGCGTTTTCCATCTTAGCCTTTTAACCAATGGTTACCAATCATCCCTCTTACATACTGTTTTTGTATTCAAAGTTTTTTCTTCGCAGATTGTGTTACCTTGTCCATATCTAGAATGGCCCTTGCAAGCGAGAAAAGCGAGAACTCGCAAGTTTTCTTTAATTAAATAAAAGTATTCATGAGAAACTAAATAAAGGTGGTTACAGCAAAATGGAAAAAATATACGGTTACTGTGTACTATTTTAAAAGTCCATTAAAAAAAATAAAAATACGCAAATTTCAAACTCAAAGCAGAACTTATTAAAAATTTAGTTTACTTTTAAGTGAAACAAAGTTATAAGCAATAGGTTTACCAAGTCCATGATCTGTTACCAACAAAATTTTTGAAATAACCAAAATACCAAAACTGTGTTAATGTTAATAAGAAATGCACTTTAAATTAAAATAATTATGATTTATTGCAAGCCTGGTCGCGCATTATATCGTCAACTTCGTTGTCAGTTTATTTCAGTGAATAAACTAAATATTAAAATTTTGACTTACTGATTTTTGGAAAGAACTCTTAAAACATGAAAATACATAAGGTATTAGTTTATCCATATATTCTGTAAACCCCTGAATATTACTATTTTATCATTTTTAAATTTATTGCAGCAAAAAGTTTTTGAAGAACAAAGGGAAATTTTTGGCGAGGGCGATATAAAGAACGTTAAAGTAAGCCACAAAAACTTACTGGAAATGAAATATTTAGATTTGGTCATCAAAGAAACATTAAGATTATACCCATCAGTGCCGTTTTATGGCAGAGAACTTCTTGAAGATATTGAATATAGTAATACAAACTACATTAATATTAATCAGTTTATTTATTTCTAATACTATTTTAGATGGAAGTATTTTACCCAAAGGTTTATCCATAATGCTTTTTGCTATTGGAAGTCACAGAGATCCAGATTATTTTCCTGAACCCAACGTGTTTAAACCAGAACGATTTGAACACTATGATGGAAAGTATAACTACGCATACATTCCTTTTAGTGCTGGACCAAGAAATTGCATTGGTTTGTAGCACAAAATAATGAAATATAATCAGAAAATAAATATTCATTTTTAGGTCAAAAGTTTGCCATCTTGGAGATGAAGAGCATTGCCTCAAAAGTAGTGAGGCATTTTAACGTTTTATCAGTTCCAGATCATAAGCTAGAATTAAATGTTGAAACCATTTTAATTTCGAAATCTGGGGTATACGTGTCTTTAAAACCTAGAGATTATTGTTAAGTTTGTAATGTTTTTAAATATTATTTATTTTGTTTATATAAAATTAAATCTATAACGAAAATATTGATGTTTTAATTAGTATTAGTATAAGGTAGGTACTCGCCGATTTTTTTCCTTAATTTTTAATCTCGCCTGACACGGTTTTTTATACGACCACAGATTACCAAAGTGCAATATTCAATTCTTGAATAAAATTCATATTATTTAAAAAACCGTAAAATGTGTATTAGTGCATAGGGTCCGATTAACTATGAAATGACCGCTACGACTTTGCTGGCAAACTCTTGACCTTTTTATAAAATTTTACAGAAGAATTTTGCATATTTAAGATTATATTTATAAATATTATTCCCCAATTATGTAAAACAGATGTGCTGACATGTTTTTTAGAACAATGTGAAAAATGGATAAGGTAAACTCTACAGCTACTGAAGATGTGCTACGTTAATAATTAAAATTAATAAACAATCTAGTTTACCACATAATAATATTTAGATGTGAAGTTACTTTAAATATAATAATTTATTAAATTGATTATTTGTTTTTGTTTTATTTCCTAACTTTTATGTGCTTCCATTGTTTAGGTTAATCAGTTGTGTGAATTTGTCAGTCTGACATATTTAAAAAATTATATACAATAAAAAATAAATATGCCGGATAAAAAACCCAAAACGCCCAAATCGTTTACAATTATGGATGTATTTTCTATTATTTTACAAGAAGATATAAAAAATGATCAAATAATTGTAAGAAAAAATGATAATTTTTACACTTTTCATAATGTTTTTTAGACTAAGCCGTCAAATTATATAACTGAAATGCAATTAACCACAGAAGAACGCCTGGAAAATTTAAAACTTAGAAAGAAGGTACCCGGCAATAAAGGTTTTGCAACCCTACCTGAGGTAGTAATATTTCAAAACTTTAAGTTGGATTATACCTATACTGCCCAAATTATTCTCTCAAATAACAAAAAAGTACGTGCTGTGAAAAAAATACATTATTTTATTTATTAAATATTTTTAGAGCTCCAAAACAATTAAAATCGACTTCCAAAAATCCCCAGTTTTCAAAGTGTTTTCAAATAACAGTTCACCAAAGATAGCCCCAGGTTTGACATACAGTGTAAATATTCAGCTTCAGGCAATAGAACATGTTGATTACAAACATTCAATAAGATTCTTCAGTAACGATGATGAAATTGTGGTGCCTATATTTGGTTTGTATAAAAGTAGATATTATTCATGCGCCGCACAGTGTGGTATATAATTATATAGTAGCAGTGGAATTGGACAAGATTCTTTGTCAAGATACTTGGAAAAGCACTTTGTAAAGAATTGGACAATTCTTGACCAAGACTCTTGATCAAAATTCTTTATCCAGACTGGTGCCAGACTTGCGACAAGTCTGTGACCAGAATTCGACCAGATTCTTGGCCAAGAATTTTGACGTATACGTCAAAATTCTTGCCTATACAGGGTGTCCCGAAATTGGGGGGCCAAACTTAAAAAGTGCATTCTTTATATAAAAATAACACTTGTTTGTTTAATAAACATGTATCAAAAAATGCGCCCTAACGGAGCTACGGCCCCCTGAATAAGAGCCTAAGAGGATCATTTTTTTTAAACTATTCCTAGAGGTTTGAACAGGAAGATATAAATTTTTGGTACTTTGGTAATTTTGACATGCTGAATCTAGATCTAAGATCAAAACTGTTAAAATTGAATCATAGGCGTTACATTTGGGGGGCAAAGTTACAAAAATAGCCCTAACTTTTTTCTAGGTTAATGTTTTAATTTTTGTTTATGAAATTATGAAAATTTATAGTTTTTTACGAAAAATAAGTACTCTTTATTTAGATCGTTCAGATGCACCATTTTCGAGAAAAATGCATTTATAAATAAATTACTCTCATTATTATTATCTCATATTTTCATTAAAACGTTCATGAAGTGAAGATTTGGTACTTTGGTAATTTTGACATGCTGAATCTAGATCTAAGATAAAAACTTTTAAAATTTCATCATAGGCGTAACATTTGGGGGGGCAAAGTTACAAAAACATCCCTAATTTTTTTCAGAGTTAATATTTCAATTTTTTTTAATAAAATTATAAAAAATATAACTATTATAAATAACCCAAACGTCACTTTTGTCCTAAAGCCTACTATAAAATTCTTGCCTATACAGGGTGTCCCGAAATTTTATGCATATAGTTTTTTTAAGTAGTAAAATATAACCATTTTAAAGTGAAAACGACTACTTTATTAGTAAAAAATGCTGGTACTAATTCAAATAGTAGAATTTTGACTATTTCATTTAATAGAGTAGAGTATTGTGAATGATGCTACTCAGGGCCGGACCTAAGGGGGGTGTAGGGGGGGGAGTCTATTACTATACTTTTTGAAAATTTTATACGGGTGGTCGAAAAACAAGAAAACATGAAATACTCTCAGGAATAAACTACCTTTAAAGGTAGTTTAGGTAAAAATAAATATTTTTCGTTTTAGAGCAAAATGACAAATAATATTATTAGGATATCCCATCCAAAGACTAATTGTAAAATTTCAACTCAGTATTCCAAATTTTCCTTTTCTTATAAAGTTTTAAAATTTAATTTCTAATTTATACTTTTGTACCTCATTTCACGTATCCTTTACCTATGCAAATAGAATGCAAATTGTCAATTTGACGTTACTTGATTATTGTTGATTGTGTCATTTTTGTAAATATAAAATAAAATTTGAAATAATATTTCAAATTTAATTTTTCCGAATAGTTAAAATTTTACAAATGGTCTTTGGATACAATTTGAAATCTTTTTTTTATTTGTCATTTTGTTCCAAAACGAAAAATAAAGGTAGTTTACTCCTGAGAGTATTTCATGTTTTCTTGTTTTTTGACCCCCCTGTATAATATTTTCAAATTTAAAGTATGGCAATAGACTTTTTTAAACAAGCAGAACTTTTTAAAAGAAATGACTTGGTCGAAAAATGAAAATTTTAGTCCATGGGCCCTCTATCCATGGACATACTGTATAAAAAAATAAGTTGGTTTTTTATCATCTCCGCCCACCCCCCCAAAAAGTGTGCCTCGGTACGGCTCTGATGCTACTGTAGAATGAGAACCTCTACTCTATAGATTTCTGGTCAAATTCTTGGCCAAGAATCTGGAACAATTCTTGTCCCATTCTTGATAAAAAATCTGTACAAAGTATCTTGACCCATTCTGGTCCAAGTCTTGCGCAATAATCTTGGCCAAGAATCTGGAACAATTCTTGTCCGATTCTTGATAAAAAATCTGTACAAAGTATCTTGACCCATTCTGGCCCAAGTCTTTGACAAAATTGCTACTAGGGAAGCAATCTAGCTGGCCAAAAGTCCAAATGTTAAACTACAGAAAATAAAAAAAAACACTTCTAATAGAATCTCCGATAATTAAAGCCCACGATAGATGCCCATGAGCACCTCTTCATCCTCAGATGACTTTACCCCGGCATGCCTCGCAGAGATATCATTTCGTCTTACTAAGTACTTGTACACTGAGAGAAAAAGTGTAGTTTATAGTTAACAAATCTTTATTTGGATAGCATTTATTTACTATAAATAAAGTAAATTTATTGTTAATCAACCTTTTTAACTATTAATAATCTGCGTAATATTTTTTATTTAGCAGAAACAAATACTTTGTTTGTTGTCCATATGTTTATTATTAATAATGCAAATTTGGGAATAATAAATACCTATTTGCTTAGGCGATCTTTAAAAATTTATTTATTATAAATTTCGAATTTATTTTTAGGTAAGAATAATTCATAACAATAAATAAATGTTTATTTCTTGTTTATTGTACTCAAACTTCTGTCAAAAGGCAGCAAAACAGCATATACGTTTCTGGAATGGTCTGCGTGATGTACCGCGTGCGTATGGTGTACCACTTGCCTTGCCAAGTTGAGTGATTCTGCAGAACATGTTCTGTGTACTGTTTAGTTTAATGATTCTGTTCTTTGAACTGTTATTTCAGTATTTCAGTATTTCGTTTGAAATCTTTTTGTAATAGCATTAATTTAAATTGTACCTATAGTGTCAAAATACCGCTCATTTTCTGTGTGCCGGCTAGTCCAAACATGGAAGATCTGCAAACCATGGACGAGCTATGCAAATTTTTAGAAAGCAATGGATTCAACGACTTGCTGGATACATTTATAGTGAATTGAAGTATAGGTTTTACAAATAAAGCTTTATATCTTCTAAATATTTTAGTATTTATTATTAACAAGCATTTATTTATCACAAATAAAACAAATTTATTATAAATTAATCTTTATTTATTATAAACAAGCATTTATTTTTTCACAAAAAACATATTTATTATAAATTTATCTTTAGTTTTTAATAACAAGATTTATTTAAACAATTTTAATCAATGCTTTGTTTGTCCTAAATAAATGTTTATTCCGTCATAATCGAATAAAGCATTTATTACTTATTGATAAATCTAGTTAATTGTTAATAAACTGTTCTCTCAGTGTATGTGATACGAGTACACAATTTGTACATTTCTTATGCGTTATAAATTAAAAAAGTCTCTCAGTCTTTAACTGGATAATAAATTGACCTCTTTCTCTACGGGCGACTGTCCAATGAGACGAAGAGATTTTCGTTTTTTTAGAGTAGTATTAATTACTACTATAACAAATCTGTAGGTAAAAGGCATAAGGGGATAAGTTAAAAAAAGCAATTTTTCAGCAGAGCCTTAAACGTGTTCCCATTAATTCAGGAAATATATTTATGGTTAGCGGGTACCTATACCCTTTTGGTAGCATATGACATGTGCTACCAAAAGGGTATACCCACTAACCATAAATATATTTCCTAAATTAATGCGAACACGTTTAAGGCTCCACTGAAAAATTGCTTGTTTTGATTTATCCCCTTATGCCTTTTACCCACAGAAATAACACTGACATCTGACATTGAATCTGTGTTAGTGGTTGGTAATTGGACAATAACGTTCTAAATTATTTAATAAAAATAGAAAAAGCTTGGGGTTTAACTCTTGAGAAATGGCTATTTCCATTA